ATACGCTAAAAAAGACGCTAGACAAAAAAAGCATATTTTTCATACATTGCCATTTTCACATGTATTTTATGGGGGCGCTTTTCTTTCGACATGTTGTCTAAGAAAAAATCTAAATCACTCACTACACTGTGCAAACGTCATTTTTACCAAAGTTTCAGCTGATTCCATCTAGAGTAAACAGTTCTATTTTTTCAACTTCTTCATAATGTGATTTCCTATTATTCATATTCATTTAGAAACTTCAACACTCCCTATGAAGTTTTCCAGACTCAGCGCTAGCGCGATGTCGTAACATATTGGTCAAAATGGGGCGCATCGCTCAGATTTCTATTCCAAATCTTTTATTCCAAAAGTTGAAATCTTAAAAACCTTTTACAACGAAAGAAGCATGCAAGCGCGCGAAACATGAAAGATGTATTTAAAATAGTGAAGATAAAAACAGAAAAGTGTGTAAAGTTAGATGTAAAAATCAGATATTGCATAAAATATTTTTATAAATAAATGAAACCAAGAAATTGAAGAAGTTAAAAATTGATATAACCATTGCGCAGACACTAAAACAAAGATCCAGCGGACATTGTAGCTCTCACATCTTCAGTGGCCGTTGCACCAATAAACGAAAGTCACCAGAAAAAGTTGTTTAATACATGAAATCTCAAATAAAGCAAGTGTAGCCATTCACTTGATTGCTTACAAGAAAATTGGATCACAGATTTTTTTTGTTCTTCAGGGGATTTATTGAAAAAACATGTTTAAAATATCATGCTGTTTTGTCAAAAGGATATACCGGGTTCTCGAAAACTTCAGCAAAGGAAAAAACAATTTCTTAACGGATTACTGTCGTCTATCAGTTTATAATTTTTTTAGAGATACATTTCTCCATGAAAGTAAGCATCGAGGCATGCACCTGTTAAAAATCGGTTTTTGTATCCTGTTTACGCAAAAACTAAATTGTGCGAAGAGTGTGGCATATTAAACTTTTCTCACACCTGAGCTCTGTAGAGCAAAAATTTCTCTAAAAACTGAGCTATGAAATCAAACTTCATTTTAATCTGGCACTTATAAAAGAATATTTAATAAGAGTTCCATTTATCGGTTTCGGTTATGTAACCGGCAAATGGGGCACTTGTTGAAAAATGATTGCAGGGAAGAAAGAAAAGACCGAAAGATCGACAACTGAATTTTACCGAGCAAACATTTCTTTTTAATATGAGCTGTACATCTATAAAATTCAGTTGTGTTACACTCTTCGTACAATTTAGTATTTGCGAAAACAGCTAAAAATATCGGTTTTCTTAGTCGATGCATGCTTAAGTCAGAAGCAGAACGGGATTTGGATATAAAAATGAAACGTGCATTAGCCGGTGAAATTCGAATGGACACACATAAAAAGAAAATATATACTTCGGTCGAATATCAAACCCGGCAACGTCGGTGTTCTAGACCAATGCTTAACTATCGGAATCCAACGGAGAGCATCTCTCATACACAAGCACCCTACACGAACATTTTTCGTTATTTCGGATAAGAATCTTATCCGAGTCTTATCGGATTCTTACATAAGAAGTCAGCACGAAAATAACAAGAATTTCGCACGAATCCGATAAGAATCGGGTAAGATTCAAATAAGAATGATCTATGACTTTAAAAAGATGCTTTTATCACTTTCTTATGAAATTCTTACTAAAAGCCAGATACCGTTTTATTTTACAGACGCAAATGTTCATTTCTTGAAAATTTTTTCAAATTTTCTTCAATGGAGGTAAGACTGGCTGTTTTGAGAATGCCTCGCGACTTCTTACGCACTTAGTAATGAACTATACAAGTAACTGAAGAAGGAAAAAAAACTATACTTCTTATGTAAGAATTCAGTAAGAATCTAACAAGATTCTTATACGAGTCACGTCGGATTTTTATAAGTTCCTTATCAGATTCCTGCTAGATTCTTTCGTAAGAATCGATCACTAGGGTAGTAGTATTCTCTTCAGAAAAAAGAAGGAACCTGGATGTTTGTGGAATAACTTTTGAACGGAAAAGATGAATATGAATATAAGAATAATGAACCTTTGTATAACTGAAGATCAGACGAAAAGTTTACGATGGTGTACCTTGCAAAGCAACAAAATCTGAGCTTTCGATTCTACTGCAGCTAAATATTCGAGAATTAAATATTGTACACATCCACTATCCGAAAGCGCGTATTCCAAATTTTGTGGTATCCAAATTTGATGTTGTAATAAAATAAACACTGTCATGGCATCCAGCGTACTTAAAAACATATATGCAAAATGTTTCTGAGATTCTTAGAGGTAGAGCGTAGTCGACAGGTAGACGATTGGAGAATGCCTACAGTTTGCGGTCTCGTACTTGAACCAGTATGCAGAGAAGATGTCGCTCTGTATCACACATGGTTTCTGAGCCTTGTTCACTATGTATGTTCGCGGAATAGTAAGCTCAGATTTTTTTTCGCGCCAGGTACACCATCGTAAACCTTTCACGCGATCTTCAGCTATACAAAGATAGATGTTTCGCCGGTGTCTACTGTATGAAAGTATAAACCGCTGGTCTTCGACTCTTTCCGTTCAAAAGCTATTCCACAAACATCTGAGTTCCTTCTTTTTTGAAATGGATAGTTCTACTTGTGTAAGAGAGATGCTCTGTGTTGGATTCTGATAGTTAAGCGTTGGTCTAGAATACCGATGTTACTGGGTTTGATATTCGACCGAAGTATACATTTTCTTTTTATGTGTTTGTCCGTCAGAATAGATTACCTTATATGCGTTGAACACTTGAAGGAGTTATGCTAGAAATCTAATACATGAATTTACAAATAGAATGTACCAAAGAATAAAGTAGAAAATTGTCCTGAAGTTATACTTCTGCATATCTGATCTTGAATAATGTGAAAAACAACAGTTCAATTACCTCTTTCTTCTTCACCGATATCGCTACCAGCAGACCCATCGCTTACAGGCTCTCTTTCTTCACGTGATTCCGCCGGATTGAAAGTAGCTTGCCGCATATATTTTCGAAACTTTCTGTTATAACGTTGTATTCCCATGATATTTCCGTCTAGAGTGCAAATAGATAAATTGACGAGACATAATTGTGCTTTTAATTGATTTTTATCAGTAATATTTGGGTGTTCTACATTTTTCAATTCTTGAAAAGAAAGATTCAATGGCTGATAAGGACTATGACGATCACATTGACATACATAAACTGATAGGATTTGATGTAGATCATGTATTACATTTAAAACTTCATTAACGTTATCACAACATAAGAAGACGTAGGTTTTTTGCTGTGGTTGTTGTATAATAGACAGAACAAATTCGTTTAAAGTATGATAAATATAGGTATCTATAAATCGGCGTTTGATACCAGCATGTTGCTGGTTTGGATCGTAGAATTTAACTGTAGTGGCATTCATTATTAAATAGGTGTATGACAAATACACATGTGTATTTGTATATATTGGGTCATACAGGACTACTGTAGATTTATATATATATATATATTAAGGCGATGAAAAGAAAAAAGTGAAGTCAGTTCCGCGATTCTATTATATATCGTCATCGACAGCACATAAACAGTAGCGAATAAAAGAGAGCAAATATACTACATAAGAGTTCGATTGGGTTTTTACTCATAGACAGGTAGAAAGTATGTGAAACTAAGGTGCACCTAAAGCAAACTTGCAGTGGAATTTGTTTTTCGCCTTTTCGTACATGTCTGAATAGAAGACTTCAAGGCGGTCAAGAATATATGTGTCTCGATTTGTTGTCAGACGAAACGTTTACGATGGTGTACCTTGCGAAACAGAAAATCTGAGTTTCCGATCCTACTGCAGCTAAATATTCGAGAATTAAATATTGTACACATCCACTGTCAAACAGCGCGTACTCCAAATTTTGTGGTATCCAAATTTGGTGTTGTAAGAATAGTAAGCTCAGACTTTTTTTTCTCAAAGTACACCATCGTAAACCTTTCACCCTATCTTCAGCTATACAAAGGTAGATCTCCCCTCGGTGTCTGAGACATTTAACGATTTCCGTTTAAGACGTTCAACTAAGAGAAACTTTTAGTTTTTCCAGAAATTGAATAATATTTACATATTTTATGCTTTTTCGAAAGTATGTCAAACTAAGGTGCACCTAAAGCAAGCTTGCAGGGAAATTTGTTTTTCGTCTTTTCGTACATATTTGAATAGAGGACTTCAAGGCGGTCAAGAATATATGTGTTTTACTACTGTAGATTTATATATATATATTAAGGCGATGAAAAGAAAAAAGTGAAGTCAGTTCCGCGATTCTATTATATATCGTCATCGACAGCACATAAACAGCGAATAAAAGAAGGTAAATATACTACATAAGGGTTCGATTAGGTTTTTTAGTCGACTCAGTGTTTTATCCTGATTCTGAATATGTTGCTCTTATTTGCTCGTTTTTTTGGTTTTTAAAAGATAAACAATGGAGCGTATATGTGTTTTTCAGTGGCTAAAAACTGAGATAATCCTTTCAATTTTTGGAAATTTTCGTCTTATTATCCTTTTTTTTATTTCAAACAGATAAAAACGGAACAATTTATACTGTTCCTAACAGCTACGCATTATTTCTCCAAGTAAATTAACGATTTGTTTAAACGAACTAAACGACTTATCTACAATTGCCAACTTAAATGATAGTGGCAGGACTGGTAGAATGAATTTATTCATCTTTTGCAGTTAATGTGTTTTGATCGTGAAATTTATTTGAACCGGAGCTTTCGAATCGACAGATTCATCTTCAGTGGAAAGAAAACCTGTACATATGTGAAGACAATATATACGTCAAACCGCGAATTACATAAAGCAAATTTGAAATTCTTGTAACGGGTGGCGCATAAATAAACGCACTCCCGTATTTTGAATATAACTCCGCCGGCTTTTATCCTATCGATCCAAATTTTTTTCCAAGAGATTCCTTATTGAATTCTCTACAAAACCATGTCATA